CAGGCATCTTGCCTCTACCTCAGGACTCAATCGCCTATTAGAGCCATCCACTCAGGCGTTCCCCAGGGCTCGGTGATCTCGTCGGCCCTATTTAACCACTTCATCTCCGACATCCCTGTGTCTACCCCCAATATTGCCTCATACGCGGACGACCTTACCATCTTAGTGTCGTCCCCGAGGCTCGACGCTGCGGAGGTCGAGCTCGCCTTGCTCCTTCGTAGCGTCTCAGACTGGTCGGCTGTCAAGAAACTGGCCGTGGCTCCTGGCAAGTCCTCGGTCACGCTCTTCACCCCAGATACGCACCAATCCCGATACCACCCATCTGCCACCATCTGCAACGGCATCATCCCACTGGACAAAACCCCCAAAATCCTAGGCGTCACCTGGGATACACACTTAACTTTCTCCCCTCATGCAAGAGCCATAGCCACAAAAGCGACGGGTTCTCTCCGCATCTTAAAAGCCCTTGCTGGCACCAACTGGGGCTTCTCCAAGGAGGACATAGTTGCCACCTACCGTACCATTACGCGCCCAATTCTCAACTACGCGGCCCCCATCTGGTACCCTGTTGCCTCCCGTACAGCAGTTGCCAGCCTGCAGATTATACAGAATACTGCATTGAGACTAGCCACCGGCTGCCTCAAAATGGCCCCGATCTCCCATCTGCACCAGGAGACCGGCGTCCTCCCTTTGTCCGCGCACCTGGACCTGGCTTGCGCCCAGTTCCTCGCCAGCGCCCTCCAGCCCTCCCATGCCTCATTTCGCATGGTTTCTGCCCCTCTCGGCGACCGCCCTATGAAAGCCTCGATACAGTCGAGGTTCGGCCAACTTGGTAAATGGTATCTTGCCTGCCGGGACATACGGAGAAGCCAAGCGATCTCTCCGCAGGGAGATTACCTCCCGCGTGGCGGTGACTGACGCCATAAACGCCGTACTTACTGCAGCTCCCTGGTGTCTGATTCCGCCAGGATCGGACGCTCCTCTAGCTCCGCCTGCCCGGAGTGCGGGGATCCCCTCCAGTCCGTTCAGCACCTCTTCGCTTGCCCCGCCTTCCCCACGTCTCTCAGCGTCTCCTCACTGTGGGACAACCCCGTGGAGGCAGCGGCTTTCCTAGCCACCCTCTCTGCCTTCGCCCATCTCCCCTCTCTTACGGTGCTGGCCCCCCGCCCACCACCAGAGCCTCCACCCGGCGAGCATGACGGTCGCAACTAACAACAACAACACAAAAATAGTAAGGTCGTCTGCATAAGAGGCGATGTTAGGGGTCGGAACAGGTATGTCCGAGATGAAGTAGTTGAATAGGGCTGGTGAGATGACCGACCCTTGGGGAACTCCAGAATGGATTGTTCTGAAGGGGGACCTTGTTCTCAGAAAGAGGCAGGAAGCCATCCTGCCTCTAAGGTAAAAGCACAGCCAGCGGACCAGATTATGATGTAGGTCTGAGGCCGCGATCATGTTAAGGAGGAGAGGGTGGTCGACACTATCGAAAGCTTGGGGAACTCCAGATGACCGACCCTTGGGGAACTCCAGAATGGATTGTTCTGAAGGGGGACCTTGTTCTCAGATAGAGGCAGGAAGCCATCCTGCCTCTAAGGTAACAGCACAGCCAGCGGACCAGATTATGATGGTCTCTTATACACATCTAGATGTGTATAAGAGACAGNCTCACAGCTTGCGTGTAGCTCCTATTGCGTGTCTGCGTAGCACTCACAGCTTGCGTGTAGCTCCTATTGCGTGTCTGCGTAGCACTCACAGCTTGCGTGTAGCTCCTATTGCGTGTCTGCGTAGCACTCACAGCTTGCGTGTAGCTCCTATTGCGTGTCTGCGTAGCACTCACAGCTTGCGTGTAGCTCCTATTGCGTGTCTGCGTAGCACTCACAGCTTGCGTGTAGCTCCTATTGCGTGTCTGCGTAGCACTCACAGCTTGCGTGTAGCTCCTATTGCGTGTCTGCGTAGCACTCACAGCTTGCGTGTAGCTCCTATTGCGTGTCTGCGTAGCACTCACAGCTTGCGTGTAGCTCCTATTGCGTGTCTGCGTAGCACTCACAGCTTGCGTGTAGCTCCTATTGCGTGTCTGCGTAGCACTCACAGCTTGCGTGTAGCTCCTATTGCGTGACTGCGTAGCACTCACAGCTTGCGTGTAGCTCCTATTGCGTGTCTGCGTAGCACGCAAAACCTTCAGGAACACTTCTTCGATGAATGACAAGATGCGCGCAGCGTTTGTTTGTGATGGGGAAAATGAGCGTAGAAGAACGGTCAGCTTATCTGATAATACCAGAGCCACTTCAGGCCACGAGATGTTCCGAGATCACAACAGCGAAGATTAAATACCAACACTAGCGTGTCTTATTCTTGGTGAAAAAACTTTAATCCAATTTAGCTCTAAATTGAAACTCCTACATTGCAGTAAGTAGCAATGTAAACCATGGCCTGAATTCGTTTGAAAACAGCTTGTCATGCACTGGCATAAATTTAATGAATGCATAGATTTAATGCATAGATAATAAATACATTAAGAAGGCATAGATTTAGTACATAGATAATAAATACATTAAGAAGGCATAGCATTAGTACATAGATAATAAATACATTAAGAAGGCACAGATTTAGTACATAGATATGGGCATTCTGCTGGTTTTTTGTACAAACAAGGTACTCCAAATAGGTGCCCGTCTCAAAATTAAGACTTTTTTCTATTTATTCACCGATTCAAAAATGTACTCACTCTATCACATACACACGTCCGTAGTCGACCGAAGCTCGAACCGGAATCCCAATTTGAGCTACTCAGCTAGTGTTGTTTTCTATGGAAGATCCTTTTGCGGACTGTCCGTGTGAAAAAATACTCACCAATTCAGGTAGCTTAAAATCTCTTGAAAAACAGCACACAATTCATAAGTAAAAGTAATAATAATAGCGGTTTCAACGTTCATTAGGACGTTAGAGCTGTCGCTGACTCTAAGCATTGCCGAAATTTCATAAAAATCGAATAGAATAGAAGTGTCGGCACTGAAGAAATAGGCCCAAGGCCTGTTGCCGATTCTTGAATTTTTCGTGACTTGATTCAAAAGGGATCCGGCCTTTGTAACCCGATCTTTCCATAACTGAAGATTGATTGAGATAGCTGCAGGACTTATTGCCTAGTCCGTAATTTGCTAGGCGTTTTAAGACTGAACATATGCTCCTGCCTAGCTTCATCTAGTCTTTTTTTGAATGCGTTCATACTCGGAGCGCCAACGATGCTATCAGGGAGGCTGTTCCACATGTCGGTGACTCGAAGCGAGAAGAAATTTTGTCGCATGGTTGTCTTATAAACGCAGTTTTTTAGTTTATAGCCGTGGCCCCTGGTGTTGGTTCTTGTTTCAAATTCTAGTAATCCTTCTGGGACCTTGTATAAGCCATGAGTATAGGACTATAGGTATGCTGCTCGTTGCGGGTCTCGAACATGCAACTCACCACACCAATTTTTGCTGTCTCTAACCACCCAGGCACTTTGCCACCTTGCCCAGAACTGTAGCAGGTAATGGATCGAACCCACAGCTCACTGCTCTAATCTTGGCATTCTGATAATAATTACGTTTGTTACGTTGTTAAATAATAAACGTCTGCACTTTTTGAATCGCTTTTAAGAAGGAGAACATTGTTTGAATTTTTTTTTCAGCAATGTATTCCCAGCGAACAGACTCGCATTTACCCGAATAAAATGACGGTTATTACTACGAATTTAAGCGCTCACAATGTATAAGAAATATATAAAAAACCTATTAAATATTTTGAAGATACAGCCCTCGGCCTAAATGGTCATGGAATATGCATTTGTTGTAATAAATCATCTTATGAATAATGAAGGCAGGTGATGATCAGTTTTTCACGGCGCTAAGGCCACGTGTAGTTCTCTAACAATCACCGGCTCGCTGACCGGTCACAGCATTCTTGGCATTATACAACACCCCAGACAAGCTCATTTATCGAAATAGCTGACTTGGCCACGTGCTGAGCATCGCGATAGAATTTCTTCTGATTAGGACTCAAACCCCCGCGTCGCTCTCTAGGCTGCAGCTCTTGAGCTCCGTGGATTTGTCGTTGCAGGTCGTCGTCGGTGACGTTTTTTGACTTACTCCCCGAATATTGATCCTAGGATTATTTTGGGATCAAAACCTTTGATATTTATCGTGTGTGGCACAAAAATTATTCAAGCCACAAATGCTTCTTCAATAAACGTTACATCTTGAGGAATTTCCTCGTATAGCCATACAGATAAACACGTAAATGAAGACAAACATAAAAATAACTATTTATGTTTTAAAGAAAACAAACGGCAACCAGCGTGAAGATTTCTTCCCGAGTAAAGACGCAGTACGATGAAAGATGAACGGATCAAACAAATCATTTTCATCTTTCAATTCATTTAATTACTCAACAGTAAATGAGGCTCCCTGTGACATTACCTGTTCCGATACAGTGAAATCATAAGACGCTTAGCGACCAACATGAACAGAGCAAGTCTTGTGTGTCTGATTGTTGCTGCAGTGTCACGCAGCTAATGATTGTTGCTGCAGTGTCACGCAGCTAATGATTGTTGCTGCAGTGGTAATTTTATTTTGTAACACCAATATGCACAGCAAAGTTCAAGGTGTATCATATCATCGTTAGCACAACACACATAAAACTATAGCCCGTAATCCTGCGAGTCAGCCTCGCTGAAGTGCAACACTGAAACTTAAATGCGGAGTCGGCAAGTTTTCTCCACATTGGATTGATGTTCACGTCACAAATTTTTATCATGAGACCAAAACCCAATAAAAACTAATATTATTGTTAAAACGATATTTTTTATTGCGTTCTGCGTAACATCGTTAGAGCGGGGTGACGTTTCAAGTGCGTAGTGAAAAGTGCTGAGTGGTGTCTTAGGAGACTGGTGTAATGCTGAAGGCAATGAAAGATCAACTGACTGACTCATTATTTTGTAGCAATAATGAAGAAGGCAATGAAAGATAAAAGAAGCTGACTCATTATATTGTACCAATAATGATGAAGCCAATGAAAGAAAAAATAAGCTGACTGACTCATTATATTGCAGCAATAATGAATGTAATGAAAGATCAAATAACTGACTCATTATATTGTACAGTAATGCCACACGTAACTCAGGGGCAGGAGCAGAGCAGGCAAGCCTCCCAGGAGGTCAGGCGGAGTTCGCTCGAGAGTTCGAGTTCAGGACCCTGCCATCATGACGAGACTTGGTCGCTCTGTTCGCGCTCATCTTAGCACATTTGTTGATACAAGTCCTTAAGAAATAACATAAGCACACTCTAGTTAACTAGGATATCGCATTATACTTGATTCCTAATCACAACATTTGTACACAATAAGACCGTCCGTAAAGTTGCCACAAACTGTGAACTTCAATTAGTACACGACGAGTGGCGCCTCTTAGCTGCAGGGTAATAGGGACTACATCTAATAAATATCACTTGTAGTTCTTTATAAATTAGAAGAGAAAATTGAGTTATATTGAAAAAAGAAGGCTTATGTTTCCAGAGATCAAAAAATAAATAAACCCTAACTTTTCGTTAACCCAATGAGGAATAAATCCTATACAAATAATAATAAGCAAGCAAGATGGCACGGAAGCTAAAAGCGGTTCATCACAGCAGCGAGTGGCTCAAGTGATGCCTTCCATCACAGCGGGGCGGCAGGAGTCAGGTGGGGCAGTCACCACAGCTGGGGCAGTGGGTTGGCACGGTGGGGTGGTCCATCACAGTAGGAGTGGGGTGAGGTGGGGTGGTCCATCACAGTAGGAGTGGGGTGAGGTGGCGTGGTCCATCACAGTAGGAGTGGGGTGAGGTGGAGTGGTCCATCACAGTAGGAGTGGGGTGAGGTGGAGTGGTCCATCACAGTAGGAGTGGGGTGAGGTGGAGTGGTCCATCACAGTAGGAGTGGGGTGAGGTGGAGTGGTCCATCACAGTAGGAGTGGGGTGAGGTGGGTCGAGTGGAGTGGTCCATCACATTAGGGAGTGGGGTGAGGTGGAGTGGTCCATCACAGCTGGGGAGTGGAGTGGAGCAGGTGGGGCGAGGCACTGCCGACATTATGCCAGGTACTTCTTGATGTCCTTCTCCACGTCAGGCTGCACGAGAGCAAACGTTCACTGCGGCTTCATCGCTCAGGACAAACTAGCGGCAGTAGGACAACAAAGCAACGAATGATACAAACTGACGCCAGACTGACGGTATATCTCATGAGAAACTAAACAAAACTATGAGACATAATTAGTGAGTGAATGTCTACTGAGCGCTCTACGGCTGCCAGCACGCCATGGATGACACACCACGAGGCTGCCAGCACGCCATGGATGACACACCACGGGGCTGCCAGCACGCCATGGATGCCAGACCACGAGGCTGCCAGTACGCCATGGATGACACACCACGGGGCTGCCAGCACGCCATGGATGACACACCACGGGGCTGCCAGCACGCCATGGATGACACACCACGGGGCTGTCAGCACGCCATGGATGACACACCACGGGGCTGCCAGCACGCCATGGATGCCACACCACGAGGCTGCCAGCACGCCATGGATGACACACCATGAGGCTGTCAGCACGCCATGGATGACACACCATAACACCTGTACTCACTATAGGGTTTGTCTTGGGCGAGTGGCGCGAGACGGGCACGCCGTTCTTGTCGACGACGAACTTGGTGAAGTTCCACTTGATGAAGTCGCCCAGCAGGCCGCCCTGCTTCTTCTTCAGGAACTTCCACAGCGGGTCCGCGTCGTCGCCGTTCACCTTCACCTGTCAGGTACATTATTAGGCTCCTCTTTTTGGCGATATTTAACAGCGAATATAAAATTTATACGGTAGCATTAGATACTATAGGGCAAAATACTCCCGGGAACCTGAAAAATTATTTTAATGCACAACATCCAACCCAACTTCTTCGTTCATTCCCATCTGGCAACCACCAAACAGAAATAAATGGTTCTGCTGAACAGCCGCTGGAGGGACAGGTGACAAGGAGGGACAGGTGACAAGGAGGGACAGGTGACAAGGAGGGACAGGTGACAAGAGAGCACCGAGGTCAAGAGAGAGCACCGAGGTCAAGAGAGAGCACCGAGGTCAAGAGAGAGCACCGAGGTCAAGAGAGAGCACCGAGGTCAAGAGTTCCGCCTCAGCACAACGGCACAACCACGAAGCCCCAACTAATGACTGCCAAGACTAACATTACGCTTGTGAAACACAGCATCTAACATGTCGCTAAAAACACAGCATCTATCTTATCATTAAAAACACAGCATCTATCTTATAACAAAACACAGCATCTATCTTATCGTTAAAAAGAGCTTTTATCCAAGGAAGTTACCTTGGCGAAGACATCGAACTGGACGTTGTACTGCTTGACGAACTCCTTGATCTCCTGAGGTGTGCCCGGCTCCTGGTTGCCGAACTGGTTGCAGGGGAAGGCAAGGATGCTCAGCTCGGGGGAGTATTGGCTGTGAAGCTGCACCAGTTGGGTGTAGTTCACAGCCGTCAGACCTCACTTACTGGCTACGTTCACCACGAGCACAACCTTTCCTCTGCACGCAATCATCATTATTGCAATACAAGATAAATAACTTGAGTTGTCAACGGCAGCTAAGGATTATAAGCGATCAAGCGAGTACTGCCTTCATGTATAGTTTATAACGAACGCGCCTCGTTGCGAATAGTTATGACTAAAAAACGCGCTGTCAATTGGATGTTCAAGGATTTATTTTCTACCACAATGATAACTAACTAAAAAAAACGTATTTTTATGCTTGCTCAAAGGTACTTGTCGAGTGGCACGGCGTTAAAGTTACGCGATGTAGTGGCATGGCGAGACAAGTTACAGTGGTAGTGGCATGGCGAGACAAGTTACAGTGGTAGTGGCATGGCGAGACAAGTTACAGTGGTAGTGGCATGGCGAGACAAGTTACAGTGGTAGTGGCATGGCGAGACAAGTTACAGTGGTACTGACCTGTACTTGTCCAGCGGCACGGCGTTCCCGTCGATGTCGTCGCACGTGAAGTCGTAGATCGTCTTGGGAGAAGAAGCCTGCGTCACGGGCACAACAATTAATATTCATATGAAGAAATTTTTGGGATTGATCAAGCATTAGAACATGATTCACATCAGGGCTCAAGAATATTATCACAATATCTAAAGCAAAAAAATTACATTACATTTTGACGATAAAAAGCCTAGTGACACTCGTTCCTTACTAAGTAAACGCAGAAATAAATTAGATACGAGTTTCTCACCTATAAGTAACAACTCCTGATAAATATTGAGGAAGAGTATACGCTTGGGGATAACAGCTTTACTTACCACAAAAACTATCTTCACCTTCGACACAGTAATTGTTAAGCTTAGAAATTACTTCATCAAAATTTATTTCCTTCTACATTGCACAGTAATAAGGATCAAACAATAAATATGTGGCTCACTAAATGAAGGTTTGAACTAGCCTCATAGTTAACCGACGGTAACTCTTGGTACGCTTCTTGGTACTATTATCACGCGAGGCAAAAAGTGTCTCGGCAGACTAGGAGAGGAGAGGACTAGTGCGATGACACGGCATCTTCAACTAGAGACTCTTAGTCTAGGGGAGAATTAACTACACTGCAATGAGCTGCAGGCAAGTTTTAGTTCATTTTAGTTCGGTACGTCCTATGGAACGCTATGCTTACTTCAGACGCTGTACCGCGTTCCCGCATTGCAGCGTTGGGAGGAGAGGGAGGATGTTTCCTCAACTGAAACATTGTTCCAGCGACTACAATGCACGAGATTAAGGAAGTGTAATTGAGCCGTGGGGGACATGGAGGACGACTAAACACCTTCATAAAACAGATAAACAACAACAAGGAAGAGCCAGGGAGCTCACCATGACGTAGGGTCTGCAGGCTGCAGCTACAGCACCCGCAGCACCGATGCCCAGTAGCGACTTTCCTGCAAAGCATCAGATAATTAGAATTAAATAACCAACAGTCCTTGCGTTATGAGCATGGGGAAAAGAAGGATTAATTTTAGAGAAACAAACTATAAATGCGATGAATTTCAATAGCTTGTGCTCTGTAGCCTGCGTTATATTAGCTCAATATAGGCCTCCTGCAACAGACGATTTATCCACCGATGCAAGTGGTTATTTTTTAGCTGGTCCAGACGGAAATGCTGAAAGCTTTTTTTGTTCCATTTATTCTTGTTGAAGTGAGCGAAATGAATGTACGACGGTCAGAGCAATGTAAGGTACCAAGCAATTAATGACAAAGTTTCCTCATTTGTGAACTAAGCATGACGGTTCCCAGCAATGGTAGCTATATGGTAGAAGTTAAGTGTGCGTTTTAGATAGCAGCATGCAACGCTGATATGAGGCTGTTAGGGCCAAACATCTCGAAACGGCTAAAAAGTTTCAGCACTTGTCTTGTATGGGATAGCTGAGCTCTTGGGCTCCCCAGTTATTTTGCGTTTAAAATGTTTATGGATGAAACATTAATAAATCATCGTTCCGGCCTAAGCTGCTCGACAAATTTGGCTGCCAAAATAATTCTGAATCCCGCGAGGTTTATAATTTTACAGCATAAGTATAACCTAATTTAGAGTGACGGAAAACTGCAAATGCCGCGCGGGAAACCTAACAATCAGTTAAGAGTACAAACAAATTAACGCGTGTGAAGGAAGCAACACGCACAGTGCGTGTAGCTCCTATTGCGTGACCGCGTAGCACTCACAGCTTGCGTGTAGCTCCTATTGCGTGTCTGCGTAGCACGCACAGCTTGCGTGTAGCTCCTATTGCGTGTCTGCGTAGCACGCACAGCTTGCGTGTAGCTCCTATTGCGTGACTGCGTAGCACTCACAGCTTGCGTGTAGCTCCTATTGCGTGTCTGCGTAGCACGCACAGCTTGCGTGTAGCTCCTATTGCGTGTCTGCGTAGCACGCACAGCTTGCGTGTAGCTCCTATTGCGTGTCTGCGTAGCACGCAAAACCTTCAGGAACACTTCTTCGATGAATGACAAGATGCGCGCAGCGTTTGTTTGTGATGGGGAAAATGAGCGTAGAAGAACGGTCAGCTTATCTGATAATACCAGAGCCACTTCAGGCCACGAGATGTTCCGAGATCACAACAGCGAAGATTAAATACCAACACTAGCGTGTCTTATTCTTGGTGAAAAAACTTTAATCCAATTTAGCTCTAAATTGAAACTCCTACATTGCAGTAAGTAGCAATGTAAACCATGGCCTGAATTCGTTTGAAAACAGCTTGTCATGCACTGGCATAAATTTAATGAATGCATAGATTTAATGCATAGATAATAAATACATTAAGAAGGCATAGATTTAGTACATAGATAATAAATACATTAAGAAGGCATAGCATTAGTACATAGATAATAAATACATTAAGAAGGCACAGATTTAGTACATAGATAATAAATACATTAAGAAGGCATAGCATAAGTACATAGATAATAAATACATTAAGAAGGCATAGATTTAGTACATAGATAATAAATACATTAAGAAGGCATAGATTTAGTACATAGATAATAAATATATTCTGAAGGCATAGATTTAACCTCAGTAGTTCTTATCAAACATGAATACATTAATCAGAAAAAACGAATTGGTATTTGAATGAATTCTCTTGCCAACAGTCACGTGCATCCACTTTATTCGATATAACTTCTAAAACTCATTGAGTTTTTAAATTCACGGTGTGATGTTATCAGGTGTCACATCACAAACTGCAGACGGTTAAACGAAAATATATTTGGCTAAACGATTTCATGACGACCAGAATTTACTTGTGTTTGTCTCATTTATTCAATAGCCGTTTATATATACAGGATATGGAGCGTGAGGAGAGAAGTTGTAGCGTGTCACGTGTCTTTAGTAAGACTTGTAATCGAGCGTCTATGGGCTCATCTGCATTATTAATAGAGCAAAATTACCCACAACATTTTCTGCAGGGGACTAAGATAAATTTGATATAACAACATTGGTCATGGGGAAAGTATTAACGATAATGATTAAAGGTAACGATAGAACTCGTTTTATTTCAGTACCAGAGTTCAAACAGTGGCAGCAGTGATAGGCAGACACACCAGCCACGACGGAGTCTCCAGACACACTGAACTGCGGAGCCCCGGCACCGGAGTTACCATTTACTCCGTCACTACCAAGCCCCGGCACCGGAGTTACCATTTACTCCGTCACTACCAAGCCCTGGCACCGGAGTTACCATTTATACCGTCACTACCAAGCCCCGGTGCCGGAATTACCATTTACTGTCACTACAAGCCTCATAGCTTACATTACGCCTCTATTGATAAAACCGGCATACACGCTTATGATCCCCCAAATTATATCGACCCATCTCAAACCGGTCTCTTATACACATCTAGATGTGTATAAGAGACAGGTACTGACCTGTACTTGTCCAGCGGCACGGCGTTCCCGTCGATGTCGTCGCACGTGAAGTCGTAGATCGTCTTGGGAGAAGAAGCCTGCGTCACGGGCACAACAATTAATATTCATATGAAGAAATTTTTGGGATTGATCAAGCATTAGAACATGATTCACATCAGGGCTCAAGAATATTATCACAATATCTAAAGCAAAAAAATTACATTACATTTTGACGATAAAAAGCCTAGTGACACTCGTTCCTTACTAAGTAAACGCAGAAATAAATTAGATACGAGTTTCTCACCTATAAGTAACAACTCCTGATAAATATTGAGGAAGAGTATACGCTTGGGGATAACAGCTTTACTTACCACAAAAACTATCTTCACCTTCGACACAGTAATTGTTAAGCTTAGAAATTACTTCATCAAAATTTATTTCCTTCTACATTGCACAGTAATAAGGATCAAACAATAAATATGTGGCTCACTAAATGAAGGTTTGAACTAGCCTCATAGTTAACCGACGGTAACTCTTGGTACGCTTCTTGGTACTATTATCACGCGAGGCAAAAAGTGTCTCGGCAGACTAGGAGAGGAGAGGACTAGTGCGATGACACGGCATCTTCAACTAGAGACTCTTAGTCTAGGGGAGAATTAACTACACTGCAATGAGCTGCAGGCAAGTTTTAGTTCATTTTAGTTCGGTACGTCCTATGGAACGCTATGCTTACTTCAGACGCTGTACCGCGTTCCCGCATTGCAGCGTTGGGAGGAGAGGGAGGATGTTTCCTCAACTGAAACATTGTTCCAGCGACTACAATGCACGAGATTAAGGAAGNGTTGCCTCCCGTACAGCAGTTGCCAGCCTGCAGATTATACAGAATACTGCATTGAGACTAGCCACCGGCTGCCTCAAAATGGCCCCGATCTCCCATCTGCACCAAGAGACCGGCGTCCTCCCTTTGTCCGCGCACCTGGACCTGGCTTGCGCCCAGTTTCTCGCCAGTGACCTCCAGCCCTCTCATGCCTCTTTTCGCTTGGTTTCTGCCCCTTTCGGCGACCGCCCTATGAAAGCCTCGATACAGTCAAGGTTCGGCCATCTTGTCACGCCACTCTTGGCAAATGGTATCTTGCCTGCCGGGACATACGGAGAAGCCAAGCGGTCTCTCCGCAGGGAGATTACCTACCGCGTGGCGGCGACTGACGCCATAAACGCCGTACTTGCTGCCCCGCCACCGCCGATTGCTTCAGTGGAGGCCTCACTCCCTTGCCCCGACCGCTCAGCGTTATCCCAGCCCCGCTTGGGATACTGCAGCTCCCTCGCGTCCTATTCTGCCAGGATCGGATGCTACCCTAGCACCGCCTGCCCGGAGTGCGGGGATCCCCTCCAGTCTGTACAGCACCTCTTTGCTTGCCCCATCTTCCCCATGTCTCTCAGCGTCTCCTCACTGTGGGACAACCCCATGGAGGCAGCGGCTTTCCTGGCCACCCTCCCTGCCTTCGCCCATCTCCCCCCCCCCTTCTGGTGCCTGCCTCCTGCCCACCACCAGAGCCTCCCCCCCGGCAAGCGTGACGGTCGAAACTAACAACAACATAACAATCATTGTGCATCAGTCATATTGATGACAATATGCATATATCAGAGCCAATCATCATGCATTGGCTGAAAGGTTTGAGAGTTTTTAGTAATAAATAATTTTAAAGTAACAGCAAGATCTAAAGACAAAATTTTGCTGCTGATGCACTGCCAAATTTCTTTTTATATTCACTAACTTTCTGCATCCTGGGTGGATTACACAACCATTTAAGGAAATCAGGCAGAAGCCACCCTTGAATACAATGAGAATCCACATGAATTCATTAAAACTTACTTTTCTTTGGCCCTTGCCTAATTTCTTTCATAGAAAATATGTAAAATGCACATTTTAGCATGCAATTTCTGAGAATTACCCATAAATATCAGTTGTTACCAAAAATTTTAAGAAATTTTTGCTCAATATTGATTAGGTTCCTAATACTTCTGGTACTGTAAAACTCATTTTCAACTAAAGAAAACACCCTTTTCCAGAATTCCACCATACAGCAACGGGTTGTGGAATCCTCAGCCTCAAAATCAATGTCTGCAGAACTTCAGAAGATCTAGCTGACACATTTCTCCTTATTTATATGTTTTCATGAATTTGTAAAAAGAAATTTTTAAGGATTAGGTACTAGTTCAGCCAAAAATCCTTAATTAAATTGGCATTTGGCAACACATTGGGTCTAAATAGCTTATTGTAACATACATGTGTCTAATTTTGCTTAGTGGGCTGCTGACTGGTCTTGGGCCCTGACTGCTACGGGGCCAAATATTAGCTATTACCACTTACCGGCATTACCATACATAAAAAATTAGTTTAAATTTCAAGTAAATGATGAAATTAAAAATGAACTGATTCTAAAAATCTGTTGTTTGTCACCAAGCATTTATTTATCATATAATAAATGCATCAATGAACCCACCTTAGGGCTTAGGCCACCTGCATCATTCACTTATCATTCATGTATCATGTATTTATCATTCATTTGTCTGCATCAGTGTGGAATTCTAGAGGGATATTAAATTAACCAGTACACATAGCATATTGGAAAGCAGGACCTGAAAGGTTGGAAAGTCCAGGAACTTTCCACTTCCAGTCCATTTTATTATATACATTATACATATCCTATCACTTTTCAACTGTGATTGGTTTATGGGATTGTGATTTTAGCCCCTTCCAGCTTTCCAGCTGTGATTGGTTAATGGAGTTGTAATG